TTTGAGCAATCTAATTCCCTATGATGGTCCAAGAGTTACTTTTGGAGGAAGCAATGATTTTGGCCTTACCAAAGGGCTAGGAAATCTGGTGTACAAGGGACTAACTATCCAAGCTGTATCTTATGTTGAAGGTCTCAATTACAACCTTCTTAGCATAAGTCAGTTTTGTGATAAAGGTTACTCCTTGGAATTCTGCAAGAACATGGCATCTCTCAAGAACATCTCCACAAATGAAGTCATTCTCACTGGGAAGAGAATCAGAAACATCTATGAAGTAATATGGAGTGATGTCAAGGAAGCATGTCTAATCAGCAAAGGTGACACTAACCTTCTATGGCTTTGGCATAAGAGGTTGAGTCATCTCAACTTCAAAACTCTCAACAAGTTGTCCAAAGAAGGGTTAGTAGAAGGTCTTCCCAAAGCTGCATTCAGAAAGAAAAGTATTTGTGATGCTTGCCAAAAAGGAAAGCAAGTCAAGTCCACCTTCAAGGCAAAATCGGCACCCTCAACTACAAGGATATTAAGTCTTATACACATGGACTTATTTGGCCCTGTTACACCAATAACTCAAGATACACATGGACAATCTTCCTCAACGGCAAGAAGGAGACTCAAGGGAAACTCACCAACTGCATGAAGCTGATTCAAAACCAAGCAAGTCAGACCATTCAGAAAATCAGATCTGACAAAGGCACAGAATTCCTGAATGAAATCATCATTCACTACTGTGAAGAAAACGGAATTCTTCATCAGACATTTGCAGCAAGGACACCTCAACAGAATGGTGTAGCTGAAAGAAGGAATAGAACTCTGAAGGAAGCAGTGAGAACCATGCTAGCAGAAGCTTCCTTACCAAAGAGGTTCTGGGCTGAAGCAGTTAACACAGCCTGCTACACTCAAAATAGGAGTATGATTTATAAAAGGCACAACAAAACTCCCTATGAACTGTGGAACGGGAGAAAGCCTAATATATCATATTTCCATATTTTTGAGAGCAAGTGCTTTGTGTTAAACAACGAGAGAAATCATCTGAACACTTTTGATGAAAAATCAGATGAGGCCATCTTTCTAGGATATTCCATGGTAAGCAAGGCGTTCAGAGTCTTCAACAAAAGAACCATGATCACTGAAGAGTCAATACATGTTATTTTTGATGAAAAACATGTGGTTGACAAACCATCAAAGCATGATCATGAGGTTCTGGATCTATCAGACAAGGATGAAGAAGTTAATAAAGGAGATAGAATGAAGCCCACGGAATTCATTCCATTCAGAAGTCTGCCTCTGAAGATTTCACAGAGAAATCCAGATTCAGACAGTGCTGAGCCCTCCGGAAATTTTGACCAGCCTTCCAATATTCCGGATATCTCAAACGGCGACAATTCCGGAAATGGCGACCCAGTTCCAATCCATCCGGAAACACCAACAACTTCTGTTCTTCAACCAGAAGCTGAACTAGATCAACCAGTCAATCCCAATCAACACAATCTTCGTTGGTTAAGGGATCATCCTCCTCAACAGATCATTGGAAATATTCAATCTGGTGTTCGCACAAGGAGTGCCCAACAGAATCTAGAAGCTATGCTTGCTTGTTTCATCTCAC